GGTCAACCAGAGAAATCTGTTAAATCATTTGGGTTGAAAACTTAGATGCTTCTTATCCACAGGAAATACATATCCTAGCAATGGAGCCTGTAGATTTTGCACTAATTGAGCTTTCACTTGGTTATCAGAAATAGTCTTGTTCATATAAGTCCAAGGTCTCACAAGACAAGTGTCTTGTCTTTGCTCTTATTTATTTTGCAGAGCATGGATTAATGAACCAGTGGGTAGACACCAGTTTCCTCACTTTCTACCTGCAATCCAGATCAACCTCTGCCCTGAGCCTTAGGTTTTGCCTACGAGCTGCGGATGGGCCAACTTGGTCCTTCCATTATGCCAGCTATTGCTGCTATTGCAATGTATATTGGTAGAAAGGTAGGTAATGACAGTGTGAATAATAAAAATGAGGTTGAGATAGTGCTTGCAGTTCTGGAGAGACACTAATTTTTGCTGTTAATAGACTTGGCATGGAGATTTGGTTAAGCAGTTAAAATCCAGAGTAAACCATTTTTTTTTTACTTGAAAGGTTTTGGGGGTGGGTGGCACAGCGGGTTAAACTGTTGAATTGCTGAACGTACTGACAGAAAGGTTGGTGGTTCGAATCCTGGGAGCGGGATGAGCTCCTGCTGTTAGCCCCAGCTTCTGCCAACCTAGCAGTTCAAAAACATGCAAATGTGAGTAGATCAATAGGTACCGCTTCTGTGGGAAGGTAATGGAGCTCCATGCAGTCATGCTGGCCACATTTTGTTCAATTTCATGGTTTCTTTCTGTTGAAATTGTCCACATGCTTATGGTTTTCAGTGGCTTCTCTGGAGCCCCTGGTGGCACAGTGGGTTTAACCCTTGTGCCGGTTGGAGATTTGACCCCAGGGAGAGCATGGATGAGCTCCCTCTGTCAGCTCCAGCTCCCCATACGAGGACATGAAAGAAGCCTCCCATAACGATGGTAAAACATCAAAACATCCAGGCATCCCCTGGGCAATGTCCTTGCAGGCGGCCAATTCTCTCACACCATAAGAGACTCGCAGTTTCTCAAGTCGCTGCTGACACACACACACAAATGGCTTCTCTGTGTCGTGAACAAGATCTGGCTACTGGTATTTAAAAAATTCTAAAATCATAACAGTAAGTAATGAACAACACTCAAAGACAGAGGAATTCCAGACAAGAAGCAATCAGGGCTAGCTAATCACCTCCCAATAAAGGACTCCCCCGGGCAGAATGAGGCCAGACCTCGAAACTGCTAGGTCATTAAATTCAAATCAAGGTGACAAATTGCAACATTCACACCTACTCAAACACACAAGGATTCTTTCTCCACAGAGATATAAAACCCCACTCACCTAGTTTCCAACAAGACCTCACAACTACTGAGGATGCCTGCTATAGATGTGGGTGAGAACATGGCCTTAAAGCCCGGAAAACTCACAGCAACACATTGATTCCAGCCATGAAAGCCTTCAACAATATACTGCAACAATGAATCCCCCCGAGCAATAAGAAGCCAGATCTTGAAACTGCAAGGCCATTCAATGCTAATTAAGGTAGCCAATTGAAACACTCAGACCTACCTCAAGCAGAAAAAGAGTTCTTTCTCCCACCCTGGACATTCCACAGAGATATAAAACCCCACTTGTCCAAGTTTCCAAGAAGAACTCACAACCTCTGAGAATGCCTGCCATAGATGTGGGTGAAACGTCAGGAGAGAATGCTTCTGGAACATGGCCTTACAGCCTGGAAAACTCACAGCAACCCAGTGATTCTGGCCATGAAAGCCTTCAACAATATACTGAAATAATGGATTTCCCCCAGGCAGCAACCAGCCAGACTTTGAAACTGCAAGGCCATCCAATGCTAATCAAGGTGGCCAATTGCACCATTCATACCTACCTTGATTTTAACTAGGAGACGTTAATGATCTATGTTTTATTGACTGTGTTATGATTGTATATTTATGTAAATGTTTTAAATGTTTTTATGATGTTGCTAGGCATTGAATTTTGCCTCTGTAAACTGCCTTGAGTCGCCCTTGGGCTGAGAAAGGCGGTATACACATTTAGCAAATAAATAAATCTATACAAATAAAAATGTAACGTTTGTTTGTGGGATTAAAATAACTCAAAAACCACTGGACGAATTGACACCAATGTGGACATAATACACCTATCAGGCCAACGAGTGACCATCACTCATAAAAACATGGAAAAACACAGCAGAAGGGACTTAAAAAGCCAAAAAAGCAAAAATAGGCTACAGTGCATAGGCCAAAATACTCCCCCACCCAAAGAAAACACACAATAGCATATCCACATTCTCTTCTGGACTACAACTCCCAGCATCCACTAGACCAGGCCCTTTAGGAGAGGAGGATGATCCAAATGCACTGCTTCCAAGATGCAAGCTTTCTTCTCCTTGGATTTCTTTGAAAGCATTCCAAACCCTGCATATTTCCAATTTCCTATTCCTGGACTGCAACTCCCAGCAATCCTCCAGATAGATAGATTAGATAGAGATAGGTAGGTAGGTAGGTAGATAGATTGATCAGGAGGACTACTGGGAGTTGCAGTCCAAGAATCGGTAGAGAAGGAAGAAAGGAGAGAAAGCAAAAGGGAAAGATAAAGGGAGGGGAAGAAAGAAAAGAGATAGAGAAGGAAGGAAGGAGAGAAGGAAAGAAAAAAGGGAAGGAAGGAGAGAAAGAACGAAGGAGAAAAAGAGGGAGGGAAGGTTGGTCGCAGCAATACGTGGCGAGTACAGCTAGTCTATATAAATAAAAATGTAATGTTCGTTTGTGGGATTAACATAACTCAAAAACCACTGGACAAATTGCCACCAAATTTGACCACAAGACACCTATTAACCCAAGGAGTGACCATGACTCAAAAAATTGATTTGGTCATTTGGGAGTTGTAGTTGCTGAGATTTATAGTTCACCTACAATCAAAGATAATTCTGAACTCCACCAATAATGGAATTGAACCAAACATGGCATAAAGGACTCCCATGAGCAACAGAAAACACTAGAAGGGTTTGGTGGGCATTGACCTTGAGTTTTGGATTTGTAGTTCACCTACATCCAGGGAGCACTGCGGACACAAATAATGATGCATCTGGACCAAACTTGGCACGAATATTCAGTATGCCCAAATATGAAAACAGATGGAGTTTGGGGGAAATAGACCTTGACATTTGGGAGTTGTAGTTACCAGGAACTATAGTTCACCTACAATCAAGGAGCATTCTGAAGCCCACGAATGACAGAATTGGGGCAAACTTCCCACTCAGAACCCCCATGACCAACAGAAAATACTTAAGGCCATCCAGTCCAACTCACTTTACCAGGGCAAGAAAACGTAATCAAAGCCCTCCTGACGAAGAGCCATCCAGCCATAGAAATAGATAGATATATATGATTCACACACACACAGATATAGTATCATAGATTTTAAAGGTAAAGGTAAAGGTTGTCCCCTGACATTAAGTCCAGTCATGTCTGACTCTGGGGTGTGGTGCTCATCTCTATTTCTAAGCCGAAGAGCCAGCATTGTCCATAGACACCTCCAAGGTCATGTGGCTGGCATGACCACATGGAGTGCCGTTACCTTCCCACCGGAGTGGTACCTATTGATCTACTCACATTTGCATGTTTTCAAACTGCTAGGTTGGCAGAAGCTAGGGCTGACAGCAAAAGCTCATGCCGCTCTCCGGGAGTGAACCTGCGACCTTTCGGTCAACAAGCTCAGCAGCTCAGCACTTTAACCCACTGCGCCACTGGGGGCTCCTTATAGATTTTAAAGGAACCCCTAAAAAAAGGACAATTCGCATGTTGCATGTTCCAGAGCAGGCAAACCAAACAATCTCCACATCAACACTGACAAAGAAACAATAAGAAATACTGTTTACCCACAAGTAGGAAGAAATTACATATATTAGAAACCAACACTTTCTCATTACTATATTTTCCAGATCACCAGACTGGGCCACAGCAACACGTGGCAGGGAACGGCTAGTCTATATAAATAAAAAATGTAATGTTTGTTTGTGGGATTAACAGAACTCAAAAATCACTGGATGAATTGCCGCCAAATTTGGCCACAAGACACCTAACAACCAATGTATGTTCTTCACTAAAAAAAATTGATTTTGTCATTTGGGAGTTGTAGTAGCTGGGATTTATAGTTCACCTACAATCAAAGAACATTCTGAACCCCACCAACGATGGAATTGAACCAAACTTGGCATACAGTTCTCCCATGACCAACAGAAAATACTGGAAGGGTTTGGTGGGCTGTGTCCTTTGGTTTTGGAGTTGTAGTTCACCTACATCCAGAGATCACTGTGGACTCAAACAATGATGGCTCTGAACCAAACTCTACACGAATACTCAATATGCCCAAATGTGAACACTGGTGGAGTTTGGGGAAAATAGAATCTAGACATTTGGGAGTTGTAGTTGCTGGGATTTATAGTTCACCTACAATCAAAGAGCATTCTGAACCCCACCAACGATATAAGTGGGCCAAATCTCCCACACAGAACCCCCATGTGGGCCACAGCAACGCGTGGCAGGAGATGGCTAGTAATAAATAAATACCTCAAGGAGACAATTTTTTTTCTCCCACCTTGAGACATTCCAGAGATATAAAACCCCATTTGTCCTCGTTTCCAACAAGACCTCACAACCTCTGAGGGTGCCTGCCATAAATGCAGGCGAAACGTCAGGAGAGCATGCTTCTGGAAACTTGGCCAGACAGGTCGGGAAACTCACAACTCCCCTTCCCAACCTTTTCCCGCCAGACCTGGAGGCAAAACACTGGGGGAAGCGGGGTCTCGAGTTGGCTCAGAAAGAGAGAGAGAGAGAAAGAGAGAGAGGAGCCGGGAAAGAAAGTTGCGCTCAGTCCTTAGAAGGCTCTGACGGGGAGGAGAGACCAGGGAGAGAGGGAGGGGGAGAATTTGGGGTGGAGCAGAACATACTTCGGAGTAGAAGAGAGCCCCCCCCCTCTCCCTCTCTTTTCTGCTCTACGGAGGTGGGAAGCAGCAGCACTGAGGTCAAGAGCTTGCTTGCTTGCTTGGCATGCCCTTCTCCTCCTCCTCCTCCTCCTTTCTTCTCTCGCCAAGCTGAACTGAACCCAGGTGCTTTCGGAGCCTTGGCGTTTTCTTCTCCTCCTTTCTTGCTTTCTTTCTTTCCCTCCCTCCCTCCTTTCTCTCCTTTCCCCTCCCACCCACTTTTCTGCCTCTTCCCTCCCACTTCAAGTCAGGAGGCGATGAAGGGGAATGGCAGGAACACGTGAAGGAGCCGAGAGGGAGAAGGAGGCAAGCAGCCGCAGCGCCTCGAGCCCGGCTTGGGGCTGAACTGCACCCGGCGAGGGAAGTGGGGCAACTCAAGGAGGAGGAGAAGGCGGCGCTGGGGTGTTTTTTTCCCCCCTTCCTCCTTCAGTTTGGGTCTTTCTTCAGAGCTGACAGGTGCTTCTTCGAGCCCCCTTCCCAACTTTGGTCAGCGTTGCTCCGGATTATGCTCTAAACCCAAAAGGAAGGGGACAAAAAGGGAGGGAGAGTGAGACACCCGAGGGGGAAGAAACTTTTGGATGGGATTATGTGGAAACTACTCTGCTGCTGCCACCGCGTCCTCCTCTCCGGCGGGGCAGCCTTTGTGGGCTGGTGGCGGGGCTGAAAACAAGAAGGGGAGGACTTCTTGAAGGGGGGGAGACAAGGCTCTCCGTGTGCTTGCTGCGTGGCTCGTGAGAAGGCTCCGACTCTCGCCCTCCCCACCCCGCCTTGCCCAAATGCTCCTCTTCGGGCTCTTCTGGCTGACATCTGCCCTGGCGGCGCAAGCCGAGCTGAACCTCAGCAGCAAGTTCCAGTTCTCCAGCGCCAAGGAGCAGAACGGTAAGGAGGCGCCCTGCTGCGGGGCCTGGGAGGCGCCCACACGTGGATTCCCAGCCTCCTCCTCCTCCCCACGAAGAAGGAGCAGGAGGAGCAGGAGCAGGAGGAGAGGGCAACAGGCTCAGGGCCCATCTGCACTGTAGAATGAAGGCTTCCACTGCCAGGGCGCAAGGCTATGGGATCTGGGGAGTTGTCATTCTCTACCAAAGAGTGCTGGTGTCTCACCAAACTATGGCTGGATCCAGACTATGGTTTGGAACTGCATTATATAGTCAGTGTAGACCAGAGGTCCTCAAACTTTTAAAATAGAGGGCCAGGTCACAGTCCCTCAAACTGTTGGAGGGCCGGATTATAATTTGAAAGAAACATGAATGAATTCCTATGCATACCATATATCTTATTTGTAGTGCAAAAAAAAAAACCAAACCAAAAAACAAAACAAAACAAACAAACCCAAAACTTGAAAGCAATACAATAATTAAAATGAAGGACAATTTTAACAAATATAAACTTATTAGTATTTCAATTGAAATGTAGACCTGCTTTTGGCTGATGATATAGGATTGTTGTTGTGTGCTTTCAAGTCATTTCAGACTTAGTTTGACCCTGAGCGAGGGCCGGGTAAATGACTTTGGAGGGCCATATCTGGCCCCCGGGCCTTAGCTTAAGGACACCTGTTGTAGACCCTTACAGTCTGTGTTATTATATGGGTCTGCACCAGAAGTGGGCAAACTTTGGCCCTCCAGGTGCTTTGGACTTCAGCTGGTTTGGAACTGCATTGTATAGTCAGTGTAGATTCTTACAGTCTGCATTATTGTATGGGTCTGCACCAAAAGTGGGCAAACTTGGGCCCTCCAGGGTTTTGGACTTTAGCTGGTTTGGAACTGCATTATATAGTCATTGTAGACTCCTGTGGCACAGTGGGTTAAACTGCTGAGCTGCTGAGCTTGTTGACCAAAAGGTTGCAGGTTCAAATTTGAGGAGCGGTGTGAGCTTCTACTGCTAGCTCCAGCTTCTGCCAACTTAGATGTGAGTAGATCAATAGGTACCACTCCAGCAGGAAGGTAACAGCTTTCCATGCAGTCATGCCAGCCACATGACCTTGGAGGTGTCTATGGACAACACCGGCTCTTCAGCTTAGAAATGGAGATGAGAACCAACCCCCCAGAATCAGACATGGCTGGACTTAATGTCAAGGGAAAACCTTTACCTTTAACCTAGACTCCTGCGTTTTGGACTTCAGCTGGTTTGGAACTGCATTATATAGTCAGTGGAGACTCTTACAGTCTGCATTATTATATGGGTCTACACCAGTAGTGGGCAAACTTTGGCGCTCCAGGTGTTTTGGATTTCAGCTGTGTTGGAACTGCATTATATACTCAGTGTAGACTCCTACAGTCTGCATTATTATATGAGTCTGCACCAGAATGGGCAAACTTGGGCCCTCTAGGTGTTTTGGACTTCAACTCACACAATTCCAAATAGCCAGTAAGCTGTTAGGAATTGTGGGAGTTTAAGTCCAAAACACCTGGAGGGGCCAAGTTTGCTCATGCCTGCTGTAGACTCTTACAGTCTGCATTATTATACGGGCCTACACCAGAAGTGGACAAACTTGGGTCCTCCAAGTGGTTTGGAACTGCATTATATCGTCATTGTAGACTCCTTCAGTTTGCATCATTATATGGATCTACACTAGAAGTGAGCAAGCTTGGGTCCTCTGAGTGTTTTGGACTTCAACTTCCAAAATTCCTAATGGGCCGGTAGGAATTGTGGGAGTTTAAGTCCAAAACACCTGGAGGGCTGAAGTTTGCCCATGCCTGGTGTAGACTCTAATAGTCTTCATTATTTTATGGGTCTACACCAGAAGTGGGCAAACTTGGGCCTTCTAGGTGTTTTGGGCTTCAACTCCCATAATTCCTTATAGCCGGTAGTCTGTTAGGAATTGTGGGAGTTGGAAAACCAAAACATTTGGAGGGCTGAAGTTCACCCATACCTGGTGTAGACTCCTACAGTCTGCATTATATGGTTCTACCCCAGAAGTTGGCAAACTTGGGCCCCCCAGGTGTTTTGGACTTCAGCTGGTTTGGAACTGCATTATAAAATCACTGTAAACCAGGCATGGGCAAACTTGGGCCTTCCTGGTATTTTGGTCTTCAACTCCCACAATTCCTAAAGGCCTACTGGCTGTTAAAAATTGTGGGAGTGAAAGTCCAAAACACCTGGAGGGCCCAAGTTTGCCCACTTCTGGTTGTAGACCCATATAATGGAGACTGTATTATATGGGTCTACACCAGGCAAGAGCAAACTTTGGCCCTCCTAACAACTCCCACAATTCCTACTGGCTATTAGGAATTGTGGGAGGTGAAGTCCAAAACACCTGGAGGGCCCAAGTTTACCCACGCCTGTTGTAGACACATATAATTCTGACTATAGGAGTCTATACTAGGCCGTCTGCAGTCTGAATTATATGAGTCTACACCAGAAGTGGGAAAACTTGGACCTTCCAGGTGTTTTGGACAACTCCCACAATTCCTAATAGCTGCCAAGTTTGCCCATGCCTGGTATACACTGACCAAAGTGTATTATATGGCAGTGTAGACCCAGGCTATGATGCCCAGGATTCCCTAGCATTGAGCCAAAGCAGTTAAAGTTGTGTCAAGCTAACTGGATTCTATAGTGTAAGTGGTTCCCAACCTTTTTTTTGACCAGGGACCACTTTGACTACAGACCATTTGACCAGGGATCACTTTCCAACATTAGTACCAAAAGGATTACAAATCAGTTTTTGGTTAACTGTAGATTCGGTTTGGTTATTTGGAGTGCTGATTCAGATAATTGCATTGGATACACCACACCAGCTCTAGTTTCTGGTACAGAACATATGCCATCCAATAGTCGCCATCTGCTCACCCAAAGAAAACCATTTTTAATAAGCCTCAGCACTATAAGAGGGTTTTGCAAGACCAGTCGCTCTCATTGCAGTGGTGTAGTAAAGATGAGGCCTCATAACATATTTTAGTTCTTGCAGGCCACTGATGGCCCATGGACCACACATTGGGAACTATTGGTGTAGACATCCTCATTGAAAGTCTGCAGTTGCAACATGCCCCATAGGCTCAAGGAAATGAGCAACCCCTGGTTGTGCCCAAGGCTGGATTTTCCTTCTGCTTTTGTCAACTCTCAAAAGCTTGTCCTGGAAATCCTGGGTGATGGCTTCTTTTAAGTGCCACTGTGCTCTCATGCTAGAAACTAAGGACAAGTTTGCCACCGCTCCTGTTTGCAAAGATTGGGCATCTTGGGAGGTGGCCGGTGGGGAAAGGACCATCTCGCTTGGTCAGAGTGAACCTTTGGGAGATTGAAGCCAAAATGAATAAGAGTTGGCGGCTTGACTTCTCGGTGTCATTGGTCACCCCAGGGAACTTGTTGACCTTGTTAACTGAGGCAGGATAGGTAAAAGGGCACCAATTAGGAAGCTGAAAGAGAGAGGATAGGTTAATTGTGTCTCCTGAAAGGTCCCGATATGGCACTTATGATCACCCTCCCCTTCTGTCCCTCCCAGGTTGGCCTCTGTCTGGTGAGGCTTTATGGCAAAGGAACTGGTTATTTTTACATTGAGGCTGGAAACTAGTTCATCTGCATAGGAAACAGTAATAATTTTCAGGCTTTCAAGTGCACTGAAATGTTTAGAAAACTCTCAAAAGCAAGTTCCCCTGGGTTCGGGTTGAGCAGACTGGGGAGAAAGGCTCCTTTCATACAGAGGGCAGCTTTGGGGTGTGTAATTTGCTTAGCCTCCGAACTCCATATGATACACATTATTCAGATTTTTAAGGCCTTCCTGGCTCCCTTGATCTTGTATTACAAAGTCATTTAAAGGGATACTTAGCAAACAGAAAGGCTAGATGCCACATGAAACCGCACGTTGAATGGAGGCTGCCTAAATTTAGGCTATTAAACACCCTGCTTTCCAGTGGTGAATGCTAATGTAAGGGGAAAATGTTTTAGTAGTTTCCTTGTTAACCAGAAGGACATGATTTCATCTCGAAGCAAACAAGCCAAACAGGCATAAAGACAAGGGGGGGGGGGGGGAGTTGGGAGAGGAAAACCCAAACACCGTATAAAATAACACATCGCTTTGAAGACATTAGCTCAAAGCAATAACCCCTGTGTGTTTACTAGGGGCAAAAAATAATCCCTTTCTGTTGTGTGAGCTGGTAAACTGTGCCTTGTGCAGAGAAATTCATATTGTTGCTGGTTCTTAATGTGATGACATATGGCACCTGCAGAGTGCTAGGACTGCAGATCAAAGAGCAGCCTAGGGATCAGTCTCCAACAAGAATGGATGCAGAAGGCCCGAGGAAAGCGATCAAAAGACTCAGAAAACTCAGCACTGCATTCAAAGGAAACTGATCACACTAACCTTTGTCCTTGAGCCAAGGAAGGCATCTCTGCTTTGCATGAGAATGGTAGAATTTTTTACCACCTTCATCATCTGGTTCGTCTGTGGGATGGAACTCTTACAGCAGTTTTTCTCAACCTGGGGGTCAGGACCCCTGGGTGGGTGATGAGTGGGGGTCAGAGGGGTCACCAAAGACCACCAGAAAACACGGTATTTTCTGTTGGTCGTAGCGGTTCTGTGTGGGAAGTTTGGCCCAATTCTATCGTTGGTGGGGTTCAAAGGGCTCTTTGATTGTGAGTGAACTGTAAATCCCAGCAACTACAACTCCCAAATAGACCAAATGTCAAGGTCTGTTTTCCCCAAACTCCTCCAGTGTTCACATTTGGGCATATTAAGTATTCGTGCCAAGTTTGGTCGAGATCCATCATTGTTTGAGTCTACAGTGCTCTCTGGATGTAGGTGAACTACAACTCCAAAACTCAAGGTCAGTGCCCATCAATGCCCATCCATTGTTTATTTATTTATTTATTTGCTTTACTTCTATACCGCCTTTCTCAGCCGTTGTTGGTGGATTTCAGAATGCTGTTTGATTGTAGGTGAACTATAA